AAGTTATCTTGAACAGATCTCAGCAGTCAGCTGACCTCCTTCCCCTGTCCCTTGTCTTCAGGACTCCTGGACGTTGAGCTCAGGCCTTGCTGTTGCACAGGGTAGTGAACAGCTGGCCTACACTGTTACTACGTATGAACCCTAAGGTATCGTGTCTAGGTGCACACTCTGCGTCTAGCTATCTAAATACATGAGTCTCGCCTAGTCCACTATTAAACCACTATTAAGCCCCTTAAATAATCAAAACACATTCGAGTTCATATTATCTGTCTGAAAGGAATACCGAGAATAATAGAACATGTTGTCGACCCTCGTCGATCGTCGGAGCCAAAGTCACAGCATCAGTCTCACACCCAGCCCCCAAGCTGGCGAGCATTCTGATCCTCTCTTCGATCTAAAAGTGTCCTAATCCCTTAGGTATTCTATATTATTTATTCCGTTTGATGATACTAGGCCTCTAGAGGCCACTCAAGAGATCCATTGCAGCGCCTGTACACTACAGGCAGCGTGAAGTGGGGTTGCAGCGCACCTTGCTGCGGCTTGTAATACAAGCCAGACGAACTTCAACGAAGCTTCCTTTGCAGTATGGTTTACCTCTGAATATACTCAAAGAACGTTTGTATTTGCTTACACGCAACCTACCATGGGAAGTGAAGGCCCCTGCGCTAACTGGTGCTACATCGCCCAGGTTGCATAGGTCTCTAACTGTGTGAATAATCCTAACGACAAGCTTATACGTGACTTAAGCGTGTTCCGAATTGGAAAGTGCGAATATACTCCTAAGAAGAGAAATGAAAATACTAGCTGATANACTTAAGCGTGTTCCGAATTGGAAAGTGCGAATATACTCCTAAGAAGAGAAATGAAAATACTAGCTGATATACTATAACTTACCTATTGTAATGCGCCCGCACTACAAGTCGAGTACCGATGGCAATTCAACCGGTTTCCGTCCTCAACAAAGGGACTTGATGAATTCAAATGATTTACGTTCACAGCTTTGCCATTTAGCAGCCAGAGGTTGAGCCTAAGGATCTGTCAATAACAACTGGATGCCAGCCAGGCAAACATCTACTCGCTTACTGGCTTTCATGTTCTCGCGGCATGCAGGGGACGGCGATGGAAGGACGGCATCCACACGAATGATGGGATTTCACTATCGAAGCCGTTCAACTGGAGGTGCATTTGCCTTCCATTTTATTCATCTGTTTTGCCGATGCAGTCGCACTACCAGACAGTCTCTTTTTCTTCTGGAGCGTGTTGCTGATTTCACAACCTACACGGCTCCCTTCTCCAGTTGGACATAGTTCATGTATTTCTTTGGACTTCACTAGACTAATTTTCATTTATAACACAATAAATCATATGTATAACATCTAACGTACATACTTTGAACTTTCTGTTGGTGGGAGCGGCTGGAAATCTGCGGCGTGGAGCGAAACCCAGCGAGCA